GGATAGATAGATAGATAGATAGATAGATAGACAGACAGACAGACAGACAGATAGATAGACATACAGATAGATAGACAGACACAGACAGATACAAAGACAGACAGACAGACAGACAGACAGACAGATACAGACAGACAGCCAGATAGACAGACAGACAGACAGATACAAAGACAGACAGACAGACAGACAGACAGACAGACAGATAGATAGATAGATAGACAGACAGACAGATATACAGACACAGATGGATAGACAGACACAGACAGATAGACATACAGACATAGACAGACACAGACAGACAGACAGACAGACAGATAGACAGACAGATAGATAGACAGACAGACAGACAGACAGACAGACAGACAGACAGACAGACAGACAGACAGACAGACAGACAGACAGACAGACAGACAGACAGACAGACAGACAGACAGATAAATGCTTAGATAGATAGATAGATAGATAGATAGATAGATGTTACCGGAGTCTGGCCGCTGTGGCTCCTCCTCCTCTGGCAGAAAGTGGGCGGGGCCACCGTGGGCTTGAGGGGCGTCGTCTCCGTTGTCCTCGTACACATTGGACCATTTGATGGCCATGTCCATTCCATCAGGAGCTCCTTTCTTCTTCTCCTCCGTCACATACGTCTGTGGGGGAGGAACGGCGTTGTTCTTCCACACCTTAAACTCTTTCGGAGCCTGAAACGTTTAAGACTTTTACAGTCAAACAATCAGAGTAAGTGACAGACATCTTCCAGATTGTATGATTTCACTGAAGTGGCCTATAAGTTATGATAAATCATAAATATGTTTGAAATGTACCGATTTGATTAAATTATTCAATAATTTCAATTATAATAATTATTAACTACTTTAACAATATTATTTGTAGATTGCATTATTTAATAATTCCATTAATTAAACAGATGTACTTATTATAGACCTTACTTAGCCCCGCCCCTTTTCAGCACTGCGCTCATTGTCTTCTGTCTTGGTTTGTATTTCGTAAGATCATATGAATTACATACTACACAGAATTACAGTATTTAAGTAGGCTATTCACGCAAACATAAGGGTGACGTCACGGACACTACGTCCATGTTTTTATACAGTCTATGTGTGTAACATTATATTAGATCCGTGCAATACAGCAGGTCTCATTAATGTTAATCTAACAACAAAAGAAAAGCTGCTCTTGATTGAACTGCTTTTATTGTTTTAATAATCAATTTATTTGTAATGAACACACTGAAGTGATTTTTACTAGCTTCATCGGAATGGTACAAAACTTGGTGACTTTTACGGCACTTGGTATGTTAACACACAAAATAATTGAGGGCATGATTCGAAAAAGCTAAGTGCTCGTAAAAAAAAAATAGTCACACTCATGGTCTTCGGTCAAAAATGACCGACCATAGGAAATGAATATCTACAAATCCCCCACGATGCAGAAAAAAATTGCACAGCAATGAAGGGGTGAAACTCTAAAACATCTAGTGCAAAATCAACACACCAACTCACACACGCGCGGACACACACACACACTTGTACACACACACCCCATATGAACTGGTGTGCCTGTAACACAGCAACTACGTAAAACAAAATCAATAATTCAACTACAATTTAGTAAAAAAGTGGACAGCAAGGAAGGGGTTACACTCTAAAACATCAAGAGTGCAAAACAGACACATCCACTCACACACACTCACAGACACACACACACACACAATCAGAGATACTGCATTGATTGAATAAATATTTTTAAAAATTAGAGAAAAATTATTTTGTACTATTTTCAATGGGAAAATTTGATAATTATTGCATAAATATGAATTATTACCATAAAATTCTCTCAAAATACAAAAGAAAAAATATTATTGAACAAAAATATATTAGATTGATTTTACTGAAGAAAAAAAAAAAGTTCAATTTCAGGTGTCCTGTCACTTTTGACCGCGAAGACCATGTGTGTGACTCCCAAATGAGGAGCGCACAAGGATTAATAAAGGAAGTGGAGGAAACAATGCAACGTTGCTGGTGATTTTGCTTTGGAAACGTCAGAAAACTTTAACTTTATTCGTATGCCAGCACTGGTCACAAATACTGTATGATAATGGAATAATGACTAGTGAGAGAGAGAGAGAGAGAGAGAGAGAGAGCAGGTGAATGTGTGTGTGTGAGAGAGAGAGAGAGAGAGAGAGAGAGAGAGAGAGAGAGAGAGAG